GAGAATAATGTTGCATTTTCTGTCGTTTTGCACGACGATGCTCGTTTGCGTACCGTCCAAATCTTTCAGGCATTCGGGTGGGACGCGATCCAAACAGGATTGGGAAACGTTAGTTTAGAGCTGTATTGCAGGGGAGAAAGATAGTTCTTAGGGTCGAATCTGATAGACTTAAAGAATTCTAAGTCTATCTAATTCGAGAAATCTATGCTGGTAACAAACAGTATTAAAATATATGCAAACTAAGAAATGCAATTACAACAGCTTTGGTACTTTGGTACAAAATCTAATAAGAAGTATGAAAAATCGACTAATTGAAATTCTAGAAAATAAGGGGGATCCTACGCGTTACTAAATTATTGCTATAACTTAATTCAATTGTATTCTCAGCGCAATATTTGTATAATTTGTCGAATAAGAATACTTCCTTTCTCCAGCGGATACAATTTATCCATCTTTGGCAGAATATCGATTCTCAACACAATTTCAAATATGGTACACTTTGCGTTTCATTTTTGTGGCTGTGTAAATTCGCAAAATTGGCCAAACTCTGCGGCCACTGGTCCCCGTACCTGAGTCACCGGGGCGTTTCTATTTCCGTCGTCTTTTCAGCGCGAACGACCACGGCCAAAACATTCCCCTAGAATTTCGCGCGGCCTTCCATTGTCCTTATCGTCGGCGCGGTTCGGCACGTTCCATCGACGCCAACGGGAATCGCGTCCGTCACCCACGGGTCCGGCGAGAAACACGTCGAGCTAGAATGCCCAGAACGCGACGCGGAGACTTTTCCCGCGCGAAAACGCTCGTGGGCCGTTGTTCCCCACCTCCGGGTGATTCCGGCGGACAAGTCGCGGTGCACCTTCGACGGCCACCTGCGCGCGTGTTTCGCGGAGCAGAGACACGGGAGAGAGCTCTCCGTTCGCGAATATTCGCGCGGACAGGTAGGTGCGCGCCGCGACTGTGTGCGGGGTATAAATATACGGGGAGACAGGAGGCGTGACTATTTATAACGGTGATATCATCGACGATTACCTACGCTTTCGCGTGGACAATCGTAAATTCTGACGGCGAGAAGGGTGCGGGCCGATTTCAGACTTTACCGAGTATCCCTCGCGATCTCGCTCGCTCCCGCGAGTCCTCCGCGTCTAAGTTATCTCTTTCGGGCGTGACTCAAAACTCCCGAGACGACTTCGACTCCGAGACCGTGTCCGGGGGAGCCGATGGTAATTTAAGCTCGATTCCCGTGTGGGCACGGAATCCGCCCGATAAAATTTACCCGGAGCTACGGCGCGACGTGCAGACTCCTGGACGACGTCGCGGACCGAGATGTTGCAAGCTAATCGACGTGGATCGACGCTCGAGGCCTTCCGGTTTGCCGGATACGACTGGTCCGTACAAATATCTACATTTCGAAATGTTTGCTTGGTTGTCGAGCTACCTCACAGGTGGAACTCAGTAGATGAGATACACGAATGAAATCTCTAATGAAATCGTTGTCTCGTCTGGCGTTCCTCAGGTGCCCCATTTGAGTCAAAATGTTCGAGTTATTGAATTGAGTTAAAATGTTTCTTAATATTCAATTCTTTGACGTAGTTTTATTGGCGTTACGTTATTTTAGGCTAGACAAAACTATATGTTTTTATTTCGAGGTATACAATTACGCATTTCGACCACGTTTAGGGGATGCAATCCCACACTGTGCACCGGTCAGTCTTTCCAGGCAAGAGGATCGCGGCAAAAAGTAATCGCAGAAGAAAGGCGACCGACAAACGCGACAAAATTACGTTCTAAGGACTACGGTCGGTGGTCCCCGCGGCTTTAACGATGGCGGATCGATCTGCCTGTGGTTAATACAGCCAGAAAGAAAGAACGAGTAACCAGAATGTGGACAGCGTCCAATAACTTTGTCTTGCGAAGGGTAGGACCCTGCAGAGTGCCTTTTTTTCATTAAAAAAATCAAAATCCACTCTCTACACGATACGACGACGTGTTTAGGCTAAAATGAAATGCATATCGATGAACGATGCATATTTAGATTTAGGTCCAAAGACGTTCGGGGGTCTTCCATATCGGTGACCCCTTGCTTTGTGTCGAATAGTTTTTTATAATATAGTTAATATATGAGTTTAACCAGACGTCTGTAAGTATCCTTGACCCTCCTACTGTTATTACGGATCACTTTTCTGGAATCCACTTGCCTAGAAAATTGTTACGTCCCGCAGGAATTCGTCGAAGGCGCCGCGGGGGACGAGCGCGTCCCGACGATATTTATACGATCGATCCCACGAAGCTCGCGTGCTGCGGGAGATAACGTATACGAAGCTGTAAAAAGCAACCGGCGACCCTTTCTGCCCGGGAACGAAATCAATTTTCGGCCAGCAGCAACATTTTGTTGCGGATAGTCGAGGGATCGTTGCGTGCGCGATGAATTATCGCCCGTGAGGGCCGCCGTATTGTTCCACCGTGTTGCTCGAACCGATGTCGGGACGATGTTACGTCCGGATCGCTCCGGTGGTCGTTATAACTCTCTTCGATCCACCGCGGCTCGCCATTTCGAAATATTCGACAAACCTCTCGCGAAGCGTGACACAATTGTCTTTGAATATTTAGCGATAAACACTGTAGTAATCTCTGTTTGCGTGGACAGAACATTTATGAAGAGCACAATGTATCTCCTGTGGAAGTTCATATGTAATTGTGCTCCTTTTTCTCAGTGTTTCATAAAGGGGATTGGCACTCGTGTCCATTACATATAGACAATAATAACGTTCAGATACTTGTGAGCATACAAAAACACAACGATCTAATTGAGAAATATAGTAAAACTGAGCTGAACATCAAATGCTGACACTTCTACTGTATCAGGAGCACACGAGTGCATTTGCTTCCTCCATCTTGCTCTAAATAATCACTCGAATCTGTGTTCTCTAACGGAGTCCTGTACCGAATCGCCAAAATTATGCAAGAAAATGAAGCTTATTGGGTCCCGTTCACGAAGGATCGATCGAACGAGTAGCTGGAAGCTTTGCGTTGCATCGCGATCACGTCCGCGCCCCCGATAAGCGTCGAACGATCTCGACATTGACTTCCAGCGCGCGCGGAGAAGGAAGTGTCCGGTCTCTACGTCCGGAATAATCGATGAAAACGGCTAACGGTCCCGGGGTCTGCGACGACGATCGCTTCCGATCGGTGTCCCGAGCCTCGGTTATTATGCGAGACGCTCGTCCGTGGCGTAACCGTGCACGAAACAGTGTTTGCGTGCAGCTTCGACGTTGCAGTTATCCACGGTGGTTTCTCGCCGAGAGGAAGCGGCGAATTCGCGACCAGGACGGCCGCCCCGTCTCCCATAATCGAGAAGAAGCCCGCCATTATGCTCGCGTCGGCCGTGTAATCATTCGCTCGTTACTCGATGAGCTTCGCCTCTCTTGATCGTCCGTTTGCGCGATCCCGTGGATCCTCCAACGAGCCTCGTCGGCCCCCTTTGCTACAAAGCTTCGACCTCGATTCGTCGCTTCCGGTCACCGATAAAACCCGAGGCATTTTAGAATCGTTTATTTGTTTATTTATTTACGGGCAAAATAGCCAAATTTCTCAAAAGATACGTTTATAAAATCAAGGGATTCAGAGTTTTTATTAATCGTAGTGCTTCGAGACGAGAGCGTGAGTAATTTTATTTTATTTGACTTGGGAAGATTCCATTGATCAGAAAAGAAGTATAAAGTTTAACAATTTTTACGACACGACTATTTTGGATTGAAAGGGATGGAAAACCCGTAGATATCGATAAATAAATAAAAATGTCTCACGGAAAGGGCCGCGTTCGCTGCGTCAGTCTCGCCGGGCGCAATAAAAGTCGAGCAAGCAAAATTCGATCGAGTTTTTATGCGAATCGAAATGCCTGGGAGATCTTTAACCCCGAGTCGACGGCGCTCGGAGACTCGTTTCGAAGATTTTTACAATTTTTTACCGTGGAAACGGCTACGGGTGTCTCTTTCGACAAAAAAAACGCGATAAAAGAGCTCCTCGGGACGAAGAAGCGCGATCTCTAATATCGTACAGTGAGACGACGATGTGGCTACCGCTCTGTGAAGCCTCAAATTTTTCTTATCGTGGACTACCATATTTTCGAACATACTTTCTAGTCTTAAATAATATAAATATTTTTTAATTTCTATCGAATTATAATTGGCTTGGTTGCTCTAATATGGAATACGTTCCTAATTTAGAACACCGCAATATTAAAAAATTTTGATTTTATCATCTATTGGCGATGAGTGCAAACGATCTTTGACCTAATATTATACATAATAAGGTAAGTTCATTTGTGTTAGCTCGATTATTTCGAGCACTATGAGCCTAATGTGGAAAAGGAGGACCTCGATAAAAAAAAAAGTGAACATTTCCTACAGCGTTATTATATTTTACATTCGACTGTTACCAGTCAAAAGAGCATAAAATATTTAAGCTTTTATTAAAGTTTTGTAAACAAGTGAAACACGTGTTTCGAGAGTTTATTTGAAATAAAATCTCTTAAGCCCACATTTTCCTTTTGTATCCTCCCATCCAAAACCAAACTCCGTCGACAAGGTACCACTTATTTTACTTAGAAACGTATAGTGGCGTAGATCCTCCCGCGAGTCGATCGAAACAACGTCGATCTTCCCCTTCGCGATGCTCGCGAGCACGGATACTCCGTATTCCTCGATCGTTACGATCGCCGTCGTCGATCGCGCAGCGTGGGGGACTAAAAACGGGGAACGATCGTCGCGTGCAACGATCCCCGGGGCCGTCGATCGGCCGGCAACGTACAGAAAATCGCGGTCCCCGCGATCCTTGCGAATCGGGTTGACGAAAACACGCGGGAATCGGTCGGCGGGTCTCGGCGTACGATCGACAAGAACGAGGAGGAGTCCTCCGGGCGTTCTCGTTTAAGGGTCATAAAGCGCTACGACAAGGGCAGAGCCGTGCGCAAAAAGGGAGCAATAAAATGTAAATGTACTCACATTCCTTGTTGCGATCCATGGCGTGTTGAAGCGGCGAGTCGTCGACCTCCGCCTTCGGCGGCGACTGATTACCCTCGGCCATCTCCGCCGCGGCTGATCCTGGAACACCCGCGGTCTTCCTTCCTGCCACGTCCGCCGCTTTATCCTGCTGCGGCGAGGGCTTCGTGCCTTTCTTACCGTTTCCAGCGTCCCTGCGGGTCCGGGGATCGCGGACCGAAACGAGCAAAACGTTCGCGTTTTGTGAATTAATCTTTCATACGTCGCTTCGAATCGGGGGAACGGATCGATCGGGAACACGCCAAGGAGCTGGATACGGAACAGAGGGGGGGGGGGGGCTGAGGCGGGGGAACGAGGGGGGAGGGGGCCAAAGGACCGAGAACGCGCCGGCGAAACGAGTGTCAATCGGTCCCGGGGTCCATCCTCCGGCCCCGTGTTTTTGCCGATGATGAAGGAATGACGGATCAATCGACACTCGATCGTCTCGACGGACGAACGTTTTCATCAGAAAGCGCCGAAAACGTCTCCTCCGTCCTACCGGCGCGAGTGACTGACCCCTCGTCACGCGACAAGAAACCTGCAAACGATACCACCCGGCCTCGATCGAACCCGTTTCCACGGGGCTCTAGTAGACCCGGACCAACCAATCGGGGGTATTTTTGTCACCGGTGACCTATTTTTCTTCCTTTTTGGACAGACGAGATCGGTTTATGGAATTTGTGGACGCTTCGGACACGCCGAACGAGCCAGTAAAATATACATTTTTTCCAAGGGGATCGTATGAAGTTGGCTAGGCGAAGGAATTCGGGTCTGATTGGTGCCTTGGTCCCTTCACATACTATTGGGAGACGAGATGATGGCACTTGGTAGGTTCTAGGTTCTTGCGTAGGTCGATCACGAACCAGACTCCTAAATAGTGGAGGGGATTTGGTGCCCCTTGCGTTGTTTAGCTCACAGTTGCCAACATCTCATCTTTTAGTAGTATTTTTGTATTTTGTAATTTTCAAGTGTACAAAGTGTGCAAAGGGTTAATAATGCAAATGCTCTAATTTTCTTCACCTTTCCCCGGTAACCCAAAGTGCACAAAATGGCCAAGCGAACATTTATCTCGGAATATTTGCGAATGGAAGCTGGGATCGCGTGCTGCAAAGTTATCTCCGCTCATCGATATTACTCGCGACCGCTTTCGCGCCCGACCATTAATATGCGCCGTTTATGGTAAAAAAAATTCCGAACTATATATCACGCAGCACGGTAAACTCGAATCCCCGTGGAAAGAACTCGACCAAGGACGCGGGTCCGTCTAAAGTTTATCAGAAAACGAGTATTCGAAGGCAATTTCGAAACCTCCGTGGCAGACTTTGTTGCTATCCTCGCTCGCGTTATCGCCGACTCTTTATCCAGCGTTATTTACGTTACCGCGGGCCGAGGCACTCGCGAATCTCGGTAGCCGTATCCCGCTGGTCGCGTATTTCGCGAGATGATTTACGGCCCGCGATAACCCGCGATGTAACATCGATACGGTTTATCTCCTGACATTCCTGCGTCCGCCGCGGGATCCTTCGCGGGGACGAGGCACTTAAGGCGCCGTTTATCCCCCCGCGGAGGGTGGAATTTACGCGCCTCCGACGGTATCTCGAAAACCGTCCCGAGGCCCGACGAATAGTGATTGTGTTCGCCCGTGAATTTTCGTTTCACGAGATTCGGGAATTCCGACGCTCCTCCTTTTTCCCCCACTCGAGATACCGGGGGAATCCTGTTTCGAACTACTCGAGAACCTTGACGTCTTTATTTAATATTCACCGTTATTAAGCCTGGGAACACTACTACTTTTCAGCCCCTCTCGATGATCTGCCAAAAAAATGTTTTGCATCAAAATTAATCAGTATCAAACAAATTTATTTTTGATCAAAAATTAAGATTGTATTTTCGAATGGAACTAGGCAAATACTCTGACACCTATAATGACCTTAATTTTTTGGTCGAAAATCAATTTGTGTTTAAATATAAACATCTGCAATTTTTTGTTACATACTGATTAACTTTGATAGGAAACACATTTTTGTCAGATGTTTCTCTCGTAAATGATAAGAATTCGAGAAAGATATGTACAACAAATAATTTTCTAAAATTCTTCGAAACGATTTGGGGGATCCCAAAACACCCGAAGATGGTTTTCCCGAGCGAAAAATCGTTAGAAAATCCGCCATAGAGTCTGGTGAGCGTAAGAGCGGGCCGTGTACGACCGAACGAAATGCCACGTCGCGAGATAAGGACGCGTCGTAACCGCGCGGAAAGTTCAGATAAAATTACAGACGGTCGATTAAACATATTTTAATGTCGCGAGGTGGTAGCCGGCGACGGAAAGTTCCGAGAAGAGGTTTCGTTCGCTCGTCACAGCTGGAGATAGGAAGCCGGTCGTTAGGCGCGTTTATATTCTCGCGGGACGATTACGGGTCCGTGGCGATAGTAAATTGCGGGTCCATCGAGGCCCCGTAGCCGTGGAAACCCCTGTTTTCGCGTGTATCCTAACCCGACGCGTTTATCGCCGCTGTCGTCGATTTCGCAAGGCCGCTCGTACGACCACTTAATAGAAATAATCTGCTCGAGACGCTCGTCGACTTTATTAATGGTATTAACCCTTTGCGTTCTCGATATGACGCACACCTGGACTCCGGGTAATCGAAATAAAATAAATTCCAGTACTCTGTTTCGAGGGGGTGTATCGATGATAACGTTTCGAAGGATCAGTCACTTCTACGCCACTTGTTTTGCCACGCTGCTCGAACTTATTAACCCCTTGACGTACGATTTAATGTAATTTTTCAAATGTACACCATTTTATTTCGTTTAAATTAACTCGTGAGAGATATGACCACAAAAAAGAATAGATTTGTTTCACGAATACCTCGCTATTACAAAAATGTGATGATTTTAACCCTTAAATTAATCCTCCATTAGTTCATCAATTTTTAAATGCTTTAAAGGAAAGTTGATTTTCATTTACCAATTAAGTAAAATAATTCAGTTGAGATTGAGAGTCCATTTAAGAGTTAACGTATGAGACTCAATGAGGAATGTAGCCTCGTCATTGTGAATCTTGGTATCGAGAACTTGCGAAGAAGGGGTTAAGCAATCTTTGTCTTTGTTGAATATTTTTAAATTGACTATTGACGAAACGAGTGAGATATGAGTTTCTAACGAACCGTTCGGAGCAGCGTGGGTCTGGCAGGCAAGGTTGCTAAAATAATCACCTCTCGTCTTTGGATTCGCGCCTGGCTTCCTTCCTGTCCCTCTCCTTGTCCTTGAGGCTGTCCGCCTTCTTCGCCTTGGACTTCGACTTGGAATCACCTTTGGCGACCTTGTGCTCAAGGACGGTGCTGGAGTCGGCGGCGACGGTGCCCTCGGCGTTCGATTGACCGCCGGAAGTGCTCGACGAAGAGGAGGTCGAGGCTCGGGTGTTAGTATAGTCCTGCACGAGGAGCGTACCTCGTTATCCGGGATTCGTTCAAGGACGCTGGAAGGCCACCGATCGCGAGCGGGACGGAAAAGGGGCAAGCAGCTTACCTTAAACCACTCCGGGTAGATAGCGCTGATGGTGTCCAGAAGATCCTGGTCGAGCTGAATCCTCCAGAACGGGGAGCCGCTGTCCAACCTGTGGCCAGACTCTGCAACAAACGAAACACGATCGATGAACGTTCGATCCCTTTTTTTCCACCCGCGAGGACGACCGAGAGGGGGATACGGAGACAAAGGGTCGGCATAAATCTTAATCGATGGCTAGTTGCGTATCTCCTATCGCGGCAATAAAATGCACGAGTATCGTAGGCCGGGAGGGGGTTTTTTTCGTCCGTTCGGATGGACAGTTGGCCGTGGATCGGCGACCTCATCGATCACGGGGCGAATTCGACGCGATTAAATATAGGATTTAGAGTGTGCAAGCGTACGACCCACCGCGCGAAGGCTGACCGGTTGGGCCCTTAGGAGTCATTCCCACCGCATAAGGGCTAATGGTACCCCGACGACCAATAGCCCGAAGGCGTATCAAAACCTTGCGGAATGCCGGGCAGCGGTTTCTTTCGTGGATTCCGCGGGATTCCCTGCCTAATTTAAACGTTCGTCCCTGCCGGCCGCCGGTGGAAGGGATCACCTCTGGACACGGAGCAGACGAAGGACGAGAAATCTCTCCTGGAGTGGGCTGCCAGGTCTGGCCCGAGGGGACGGGGGACGGAACACCTCGTTACGACGACATTCTACGGCCGAGACGCGTGCCCTGCCTTCGTGATCGAGCCTCGAACCTGGGGGGACGGAGATCGGAAAAAGGAGGAAGAGGGCTCCCGCGGGACTTTCGGACTCCTTACCGACAGAAAACACGGGTTCGGGCCAGCCTCTGGCTACCGACTGCTTAAATAACCGCGGAAAAACTCAGTTTTCTGCGCCCCCACTTTTTTTACACGATCCCTTCGTTAAGCGGCCCCCTGGACCTATAAGGCGACGCGCACTGTGACGAGCAATGGACAAAAGTGAAAAAACTGAAGTCTAAAATTCATTGCTTATTATAAGATACTAATAAGGAAACGTAGATTCTAATGCTACCCCCCAAGTTTGTGGTGCATTTTTCTAAACACTTGCCACTTGTGTTTATCCAATTCATTTAATTTTGACCACGATTCTTAGACTTTCTCGTTTTAAAGCAAATACAAGACAAGTTTCCAAGACTCAAACTGCACATGGTACCTTTCTCAAACTCTCGATTAAAAATTAAGTACGCTTCGAACCAGGAAGTCTTCCTGTGGATTCGGGGTGGTCGGTTACGGGAGAAACAGGTCGGACACGAGTGTATGGGAAGAGCGTCCCGGATGGACGGGGTAAAGGGGAATATTTCACCTTAACCCAATAAGTGATTAGTGTGCTGCGGCGCCGGGCAGAGCGGAATAAATGCTCAATCAGTATGCGCAAGCCGGACAATCCGCTGTAAATCACGCCGTGAATCATTCGTCGACATAAATCTAGTCTCTCTCGGGTTGATCAATGCGATCCCAACCGGTCCGACACATTAGTTAAACTCTGTACACGCCGTCGTTTACGGGACACGTCGCGGTCCACCCGTGCCTAAGAATCCCTCGGTTCGAGCATAAAAAGCCTCGATGCCAACGGGGCCTAATAGCGGCGATTCGAGAGGACGACCATCGGAAACGATGCATCACGATCCGTTGATGCCTCGATCGGATAACGGCTGCAACAGTCTCGCCACGGATTCGTGCTTACGGTGAACGACACCTCTCGCGACCGAGCCTCGATGTTTTCGACCATCTTCAGAGGCGTCGCCGTTTTCTCCTATTGAAACGTTAAGGGAAAATAGATCGGAGAAAAGGAGCCCCTTGATCCTCGAGTGGACTCTCGATCTCAACTGCCCTTGCTCTATCTCTATGCTCTTCCTCTTAGACGCGTTCAGACTTTCAACCAAATTCTTGCTGATTCCTTTCGAGGATTAAATCATATAAGAAACGATTTATTCTCCTGTTCAAGTTTCTCAACCCTCAAGTGGACTCTTAACCTCAACTGAATTATTTTACTTAACGTCGATTTTTACCAAATTCCTTCAAATAAAGGAGCTTCAAATAAAGGAAATTCGTAGAGAAACAACCCTTGTTATTCCCTGTACAATAGTCTGTTTTTAAAGCATTTAGAAAATAATGAATTACATAAATTTTCAAATAATCACATTGAAATATATAAATCCACTTAAGGGTTAAATATTATTAGCCGCAAGATGAAATTGCCCTCGTCGCGAACGGGAATCCGTACCACGGGTAATGCAAAGTCAATAATATCCCGGACTGGTTGCTTTCCCGAAGTCCCGCCGACATAATTACGATAATATAGAGATACATGGCCTCGATCTTCCCCGATCGAATACTAATTGCCTTCCGTATCGTTCCCTATACATCATCCGAATAAGCTGCCACTACTGGTTTTCGCGCAGCTCGCGGGAAGGACGATCGACTAGTTCGTCGTGCAGAAAAACTGTCGGATCCCTGAGAGCCGCGTCCTCGCGGACACGATCCGCCTCGATTCCCCCCGAGGTATCGCGGATCGCAAGAACGGCCCACGAAAACAATAACAAACTCCGGTGACTGGTCCCCGCTGATCGAACCGGGGGCCCCCAGAAGCCTCCCGTCGCCGAACATATTCCGTGGAAGATCCCGAATACGAAATGCATTCCTTGGAAGCGGCCACGGCATCGGTCGCCCGTCGAAATTCGGGCAAATAAATCTCGCGCTTCGACCTCCTTCTTCCTCCTGGGATCTCTCCGCTCCGCGTCAACGTCGCCGTCTTCTTCTTCTTCTTCTTCTTCTTCCTCCTCTTCTTCCTCCTCTTCTTCTCGCTCGTGATCCTTCGATCTTCGATCCGCTTGCACACCGACGCGCGCCCGTCCGCGGAACATGCCTCGCGAGTATACGTACACGTGTACGCGTCCACACGACGCTGAGTGCGTTTTATACAGGGTGGCTCGCGAGAAAATGAAATCGATCCAGCTCTCGAGGCCATCGGAGTTCTCTCTCGTCTCTGTTTGTCTTTGAAAAGGTTTCGATTCACCCGAAACCCTCGCGAAAGATTGGATTTTGCAAGTATCCGAACGTTGGAGGAATTCGCGAGATTTTCAGAGCATCTTCGTTCCTCGAATCGACAGGGAAAGGTAACCGTACACCCTGTAGGACGTGTACACGTGCACGGATAGACGCGCGTGTCACGTGTGCGTGCTCACGCATGTGCGCGCTGGCGAGCACGTGCGTGTTCGCCCTTGCGTTCGACTCGGGGCTCTGAGTCACTCTCTCGTCAGGGCCTGCACTGGTAGCCGCGAAAAACTGCACGCTGCACTTCGGGAATGTCGTTGGCATGTACAGGGTGTTCCCCTTTGCTGCCGTCTGCCTGGCCGGCAAGAACGCCGGACGGTTCGCCTCGGGATTTCTCTTCCCCCTTTCTTCTCTCCTTTTTTCCGACGTTCTCGTCCCTTTCGCAGAATCCAAGCCGCTCGGAGGACTCTTCCTACTATCGAGGCGGACGTTCGCGGAGCGTTGCACCGGGGAAACCTCTTCGCGGAAAACTTTACCCTCCCCGACAACAATTTTATCTCGCTGAAGCCGCCCTCTTCAAAGGGGATGCAAAGAGCGCATGATTTTGTTTGTATTGTGAGAAGGCTGTATTTACATCCCCTGTCTAGTCAAACGTTGGAGTCACCACGCGGAAAACAGACTAGACTAGAAAATTTATTTTATGAAGGGTAAAGCTAACCAAAACTTGCTTTGCAACAATCGAATTTTGATCCAAATCCAATACGATATAAATGAGAAAATGACAATCGACGTAGAATCCACAGGAAAGCTAGTGATAAAAGCCTGCGTGACATTACGACGCCGGTGCCCGGCTGTCGTCGACGCCCGGCGTGATTCAGGGAGAAAATGGCCGGCAATTTTCAGAATTAATAGTGGCAATTTCCAAAATTGCCCCGGAGAACCGGATCCCGGTCGGGGCTAAGTGTCCCAGGGATCGTCTTCGATGTTCTCCCGATGACTTATTACTCGAGAGACGATCTACTCCGGGACTCCTTGCGTCGTTTCGTTTCTTTTGCCCGGTCTTGTCGAGAGATTATTTAGCACTCCATTTGTCGGCGGCATTGCTGGATTATAGAGCATCGTGATCGACCCAGTTGGGACCGACCTGCTCGATCCCGTCTCTCTTCTTCTTGCTCGCTCGTGCTCGTTCCACGCGATCCCTCCACCTCCTCCTCCTCCTCCTCGATCATGCGTGCGTTCACCGTACTGTTGCGTTAAGCGCACGAGTTGTTATTTTGCTTGTTCGCGTAGCTGAAACGATGCACGGGCGTCGCGGCGCTGTTGTTGTTTGGCTTCGCCTGATTGACCGTTTCATCTGCTCGCCAACTGGCCATTGTGTCGACGTTTACTCCTGCTGACTGTTTACTCCGAGATGCATCACCGTTCTGCGCTCACCTTTCTGTTTTGTCGACGTTTCGGCGCGTCTACCATCTCCAACCCCGATTTACGTAATTATTGGCACTTTTAAAATCTCACAATAAAAAACTACTGCGGACCTCGAGAAAAATGAACGAAGAACTGTGTATCTTTCCGCGATAAACCTATCGGAGTCATTACCCTCTGGGAACTCGAAAACCAGTCGATCGGAGCACTCCATAGATAACGCCAACGACTTTGTTTCGTCTATCTGGTGGATCGAGGACGACCTACGGATTCCCATGAATCTCCATCGCTTCGGTATCATCGAAATAATCGTATGCTCGGGGCATCTCGGGGAGGAGGGCAGCCCCGAAGGGGAACAGAAGAAAGGCAGAGCGCGTGGAAGGAAGAGGCTTACTCACAATAGCCGTGCTTTGCCGCTCATTAGAGGCGGGGTCGTAGGTCGGCTGGAACCGGCGCTTTGTGCTTCGTTCCTGTAACTCACGTACAAACAGTGTCCACGCACGAGGACGCCCTTTTCTGCCCGCACCGGGAAACAACGCTGCCCCGGCCGTGTTCGATCCTTTGACCAAAAGTCACCGGCGTTAATGAACGAACTTTTATTGAGCGCGGCACGCTGTGGGCGTCGTCGAGAGAGCGCCCAAATCGAGAACGAAGTATGCAACGGGATC